TCTAAGAGGCTTGATAGGAATTAGATCAGCTTTGACCTTTTGTCTGGCCATCCAGTTGAAGGGGCTCTGGCTTGGACGAAATCCAACGACCATAGGTGGCCCTTTGGAAACAAGAATGGATTTCCCTGGTAAATGGTTGATAAGCCCCATCTACACCAGCGGAACCCGTCGATTAACCAAGCTCACCGATCAAGAGGATTATGCCAATGACACCCCCTTTTGTTTGGGCTTCGATAGGTTTCAACCTGCCGGTAGATCCAAACCCCACAGCGCCTTCCGTCCCGACAGCTTGGGGCCCGGAAAAATCCGCGCAGAAAAAATGGGTGTCCTCGGTTCAAGGGACGTACCCCTCGCAACAAAACCCCTACCCATGTCATCCCTCTTCAGGTACTTGACTCACCTGACTCGTAGCAAGGAAGATCTTTCCTGCCGGACCCGAAGCCCGAAGCGCAGTGTGAACATCGCCCGCAACCTTCAAGGCCCCTGGGGAAGAGCCGACAAAATCGAAGAGACTTCAAGTCAGGCTCCACGTTCGAGGGAGGGTGCCAGGGGAGAAGTTGCGCCCTGAAGGGGGCCTCAGAATTCAACAAATACCGCGATCCAACTTGAGTTGGGACATGAGAAGGAATCAGCCCAGGAATGGGAAAAAGGAATCCACAGCCTACCAGGATCCTTAATTTCCTGAAGTCCCCTGGAAAATAAAAACATATTTCCAGTAGGTGATAGATTCCCTTGAATACATTCTAAAGCAAATGGAAGGGAATCACAGAGAAAAATATACCCATCGCGGACCCTCGAGATCCAATCATCGAACACTGGTTGACGGCGTCGTTTGACCGAACTTGGACGCTGATGTCCTTTGTTCTCGCCTTTAAACAGAATAATATCCTATCCCTCAAGGGGGAGCCCTGATTCGAGAAACACCCATTTGGACCCACGACCATGACACAGGAAGCTTGACAATGGCAAAGTTGTTGCTTAAACATTCACAGGAGGCACCAGTTGGGAAGAATGCTTGATAACCCGATCCGAATTGAAACAAAAGCGCAGTTTGTCTGTCTGTAGGACCCTATTTGGTCAAACAACGTCAACTATGATCAGTACCCCCAGTGCAAAAGTCCAGTAACTGGTGTTTACAACCAGGGATGTCAACCGCTCAGCTCAGTGGGTCGTCATCCAAGTAATGGTTGTCTAAATTGCCATGAAGGGTTTCATAGCAATCCCTACGGCTCACTCCTAAAAAAGTACGCGACCCAAAAGCCATCCGCTGTTCCGAATGCTCCCACGCGTTTCAAACTTTCGGAAAACCGCACCAACCTTCGTTGCTGCTCACCAAACCCCCGGGGCAGTAACTTAGTAACTTCCCCAGGAAGCCACAGGGATTGACGGGTGCTGTCCACGTTGCCCATGTCGGAGGCCCGGAGAAGAAAAACAAATGGCTCGGACGCCCTGAGCCGAGCTCCGATCCAGCGCCTGCAGCCCCTGCGGGCCCAGCCTGGAGCGGGGCAGCGGGCCCGGCTCCTCCGGCTCCGTGCCGATGAAGGTGCTGCGGTAGTTGGCCATAGCCTGCAGGTGGCGGTCCCCGTTCCGCCCATCGTTTTGAGCCGGACACGATCGAACTGCTTACAGAAGTGCCAAGGAGCCTCAGAATTGAAACTGGCTCACCTGTTGCAAATGCATTGGGAACATCGCATACAACTTCCTGTCTTCCCGTCTATACGGGTTTGTTGTATTTCAGAGCACCCCTGTTCTCGTCTTGAACGAAACGCCGTTTTGAGTCATGGCCATGGGTCAAAATCCAAAGTGAACATCCGATTCAATCCAACCACTAAAATAGGTTCCAAAATGGTTGGTGAATTCACCCAATCCAACCAAAAATGGGATCCCGTTTCACGGTTTTGACCACCACAGCCCTGCGGAACCCCAATTGGCTTGGACCATTCTCAAGGATTTTTGTTGGCTGCTGGACTGGAGGGTAGTTATTTCCTTTCAAGAGAGCATGGGACATTTCCAATCCTTGGTAACTCGGTTGCATCTGCTTCCCTTCACAAAAAGTTCAACTTTTAGTGGTTTGATACGGAAAACCCAGTAGTTGGCAAAAAGTTAAAGTCCTAACTAACATCCACGCAAAATGCGACAAAAGAAAGTAAGCAAGAAGCATGCTTCTTGCAACGCACCAAAGATGAAGAGGACCAAAGAAAATAGCAAAACAGATGCCAAGAAGAGTGAAGGTTCTCAAAATTTCCGGTGCTTGTGGTTCCGCTTCGGGACAAGGGGGGGAATTGATCGCAGGAACAATGGACAACCCTGTTTCCAATACTCTGGAATTCTGGTTTCATTCTCCCCACAGGCCACCTCCTTGCGCAAGGCAAAGCAAGGATTTTGCCAACTTCGAACAACGACTCTTGGAAACTGTACACTCAGGTGGAGAAAAAAAACACTTGGTGTCCGGTGCTGGACACTTGGACACCCAAGCCAGCGGAAAACAGCCCAAACAGCAAAAAAAACACCATGGCCAGTGGCACCATATCGAAGCACCTTGGATTCTGGCATATGGACTGCGGTGCATCCCACTCAACACGCGAGAACTTCTGAGTCAAGCCGCTGAGCGGCTGAGCGGGTCCTTGCCGTGTGCCTCAGATCGGCGAAAGGACCCCAGGTGTTGAGACGAAGCTCCGAAAAGCCAAACGGGAAACACAACGAAACACAGCGAAGAACGCGATCCCAAGAACGCGATCCTCTCAAGAACAACGGCAAACGATCGTGCTTGTCTCAAGAACACTAGGCGTCGGCGCTGCGTATGGAACAGCGAAGATGACTCTGGGACAATTCTGGGAAAATTCCTTTCATGGACACGCCTTTTTGCCCGGCCGAGATCTCTTCTGGATGAAAGTTCTGGGACAAAACCTCCCGGGAAGCCGATCGGAGCGGGTTCCGTGACGTTGGACAGCAGATAGGAGAGGGAACGGCTCGCTGGCCCCCGAGTTCTGGCCCCGCCTTTCAGTTGGAAGTTTGGGCCCCACGCTGAAATGCCACACCAACCTGGAAACCCAGGGAAAACAGCTCCGGTTCTTGAATAGAAGGTTGGTTGGAAAGAATGGGGAAGCAACCCCTAGAATAATTAAAACTTGAAGGCAAAAAATAGAAGACCATAGATGTGGAACAGCTCCCTTGCGGCCCCGATCATCGGGGCCAGCATGAAAAATGAGACGGACATGTGGGGGGGGGGGGGGGGAAAAAAACAAATCCCAAACTCTGCTGAGAATTTGAGACACGCATGCGAGCCGTCAAAGCGCGCGGTGCCCCTGAAGAGCATCTTTGAAATCGAGTGACTCCGGTATGAAAAAAAACTGTGAAACGCCCACTTGAGGACGGCTTGGTCACATGAGGGCTTGAACCACATACGAAAATGGGGCTGAGTCCTGGACTTCTTCTTTTTCCCTCATGGACAAAATCCGCTTCGCACCAGTTAACCCGAATAGGACAAACCACCAATCCCAGGTGCCACGGAACCTTGCTGGATCTGAACACAAAAATGGGTCCAATGTCTTGCTATCTGTGGAAACATTTGTAACCTCCTCTGGGTTTCCCCAAAGAAACGATGTGGATTCCCAAGCTTTAAACAACCAAACCAAAAGCCGGAGGCTGGGTAACGTTCAAGCCAAAAATGCATCCCAGCCCTGACACATCGATCCCTTTGCGGCCACATCACTCGCAGCTTCCGCGACAACCCCAGGTGAGCCAGAAACGTCGTCGGAGGCATTCACCGAGCCGCAAGCCGAGTCGGATGTTGGGATGCCACGAATACCTACTCCAAATACCCCGCCTCTTTTGTTGGGATAGTTTGAAGCAGCTGGCTTTTCAAGGCATTTTTAGCCAGGGGTAGCATCATGCCCTAGAAAGAGTGCGTATGGGATACAGGCGGTAGTTCTTTGTTCGCTGCCTCAACGAGGATCGCCTTTTCGAACCTTGACATACCGCCAACACTGGCAGAAGAAAGGCCTGGGCCCCCTGGGTTGCCCTTTCGGGCCCGGGCCTCCCATGGATTTTCAAGCCTCACGCGTCCGAACCAGTTGACTTTCTGACATTGAAGTTGAAAGAGTAACAGGAATACCCAAAGCGGCGTCCAAGCCAAATCACGGTTTGCTTCCCTGATTGCCGCAGCTGGCTTGAAAACGGCTTTCAGGAATCCTGTCAGGAATACTTGAAGGAAAACGGTCTGGATTCAAAAGCGGTAGAGTGGTCGGTGGACCAAAATACACGTAGATAATGTCCACCCATGATCCTATAGGAACATAAGTTTACCCAAACGCCTCCGATTGGATCTACATAAAACGGGCCCCCAAACGCCAGGTTTTGAGAACCTCAAACCCTGGGGAGTCCAATGGAGGGATGTGGGCTTTGCATTCGAATCTCCAGCGTCTGGTTCTTCAGCCTTGTAGAACCAACAGTTAACGGGTTCGGGTCTCTCATGTGTCGTAGTACGGTTACAGGCTGGCGGGGATGCCCTAAATTGTTACTAAGCACTTGTTGAACCTGTTTCAACCGCGCCGCCAACAAAATGGCCTTTGCCGGCAAAGGGTTGCTGTTGCAGTGCTCCATCCAAGCAGATTAATACTATTTACAAAGCGAAGCGGAGATCCGAAGAAAATACACGGTAGGGTTTGGTTGGAAAAGTGTTCGTTCGCCATCCAAAAGAGGTCGTCAATTTTGGGACACCGCCACACGGGTTTGTCATTCAATAGGGGGGAACCCTAAAAAGGGCATTCCTGATGGTTTCCCAACTAGGTCCTCCGGTAGAAAGGTTAGAATAAGGGTACCAGAATTCTGTAGTCTATTTTAGTAGGGTCCCGAACCCTCCCCCAAAAAAGAGTAAAAGGGCACTGGGGGACCCAGCCAACCAACTCCAAGGCACCCTGAAGAAATGGACTCCTCGCAGACCAACCATCGGGATCCCATCCCCGGAGCTCGCGCAGCACTCGCCGCTTTTCTTTTCCTTTTTCTCGGGTCACTTCCGCGCCAGAGCTTTGCCGGTATCGCGCAGTGCGGCGCTCGCGCCTGACCGAGAGGAACAGGGTTGTGGGATTTGACCACTTCTGTGATACAACAAAAAGGGCTTCCCAAGGCCCTGAGAGATTTCCTTTGAAAGCCTTCCTTTGAAAGCCACAAGAAAAAGTTCGGTACCCTCAACAAATCGAACGACACCAGCCCCAAACCTACCGTGCCTCTCCGCCCCCTCCGCCTTCCCGCCCCCGCCTGCGCGCTTGGGCAGCATGGCGCTCGCCGGGCTGGAGGCGCTTCTGGCACTCGCCGGGCTGGAGCCGCCTCTCTCGAAAGCCATAAGCGCTTCGCGCGAGTGAAAAACGAGCGAGTGCAAACGTTGGACAGAGGATCACCGTTTTTGTTTTGTTGTCTTTTTGCTGTGGATGGAAAAGCACCACTGTTCAGAAACTGTCCAAGAAACCACTGTTCAGAAATACCTTCGCACCCGCACCACTGTTCAGAAACCATGGGAAACAGATATGCGAGTGAAAGGTTCAGATAAGACAAATATGGACTCCAGGACATATCAGAAATTACAACTACAATGCTAAGGCAAGCACGAGACAATGAAATAATAGAGAAACCTAACCAGCCCTTAGGATATGACCGCCCTTTGTTTACAGTCTACAGTTTACATGTATTACCTGATATGTTGGGCTTTCCGATAATGCAACAAACAAGTCGCAAAACAACTCCATTGAGACCCCAGCTTTCCCCCAAACCACCTGCCCAGAACACAAGGGTCTCCGCATTTCAAGCGGAACATCACATTTGCTGCGAACCAATGCCTTTGATTTTGCCTGCTGGAAACCAGCCAGAAATCGAGCCCGGGAACCCGAGTGTATGGTTTTTTTGGTTGCTTTCAAGGGAAACCAAAGGCGAGAACCGAAGGCATTTGTTGGGGTCCGACCACAGGTGTCCTTTTGCCAAAAGAGATGGATTTTCCTTGTTAATGGAAAGGAAGCAATCTAAACCAGTGGAACCCATCTTCTCTCCAACTACCCCTCGGTCCAAGCTGGAACCCACCATGTTGGGTACCCAAATTCAAGATGGAAATCCGTCGTCACCCACAAAAAAAATAAATAAATAAATAAAAACGCCAGGTGGCCCGCGTGGGTCCACCAACCCGAGCCACGCGCCTGGGGAGTCGTCGGGCTTGAAGCCACGGGAGCTCTGCCTGAGTGACTCTCCACCGATCCGAAAGGCCACGCGGGGTCCTGCGGGCCCCCCCCAAAAGAGAAGTGTATATATATATATATAGGCTCCCCGATTTTTTCGGGCAAACAAATTTATCAGGGCTCTGCTTTTGGTTGGGCTCAAGAAAGATCTTCTCACCCACCCCACCCCACCCCAAAAAAAAAGAAGAAAGAGGAACCTTTCTATTAGTGGGGGGTACATGAGTGGACTCCGGCAATTGAGGGCCCGGAATAAGAATCGGTTTTGAAGATAGATGCAAACCCGAAACAACTTGAGAAGGGGTCAGCCAAGTAGTGCAATGGGGTTTGTCTCATGGAACCTGGACCCCAGCAACCCACCAGACAGTGGTGCACCTCAGGGTCCAGCCTCCCCAAACAGACACCTTTACGTTGGTTGCCTAATCCACCCGCGTCCACCTACGAGGCGTGCCATATGAGGCTCCTGGCTTCGGCTTTCAATGGAAGACCCGACCCCTCCATTACACACCTTGGAGGCGGGTGGGGGGCTCAAAACCAGGATGATTGAAGCAAATCAATCGAATTGGAGCCTCTGGGTACACAACGGTCCAGCGGGAGCCGCCTGCCCCAGTGCGCAAGATTGAAGGAATAGGTCTTCGAAAGGCTACCCTCTCGCCAAAACCATCAAAGCACTCGAACCGAAAACCGATGGCTTCGTCCGTATCATTTGTCAAATAGTTGCAAGCGGGCCACAAGGAACATGTTTGCTGGAGTCATGCTTGGCAAAAGGCGGCTCTGCCTGGCTGCCTGCCTGCTTGCTTGCCTGGTGTCACAGTGGTGGCAATTGATCAAGCTTTGTGATTGGCTCGCGCGTATTCTGGGGACTCAGGAGTGAGGAGCTATAGCAGCTATGGTGCCGCCCCGCCCCCCCCCCATCCGATGACACGAATCGGTTTTAGCCCGGCAAAAGCAAACGGCTCAAGGATTCTTGCTGCAACCCGTCCGTTGCTACTTTTGGCAGAGGGAAGAAATCGGTTCTTGCATTTGCGCTCCTCGGCCGCTAACATCTCATGTTTTGTCAGTCATGAGCATTGCTCGTTTGAGGCAACGAGAATTGAACAACTGCTGGAGGCAACAGGAAGTAATTGGCGCCTTACGAAGGTGTGCTCAAGACTTGGGGCAAACAGCTCGACACCCGCATAATTCCCCAATGAATCACGCACGAAGCTTACATGTGCACAAAGGGCCCTGTATTTTTCAATCAAATCAACCAAAAAGGACACCTATGCTTGCCTCTCGCTTGCCCCTTCAGGCTGAGCGGAAAAAAGAATGCTTCTTTTTGGAGGGTACTTTTGCTTAACTTTAAAGGGAAACCAAAAAGCCAAATCTTGGGTGTCCAACTTTCAAACCCATGGAGCGGAGAAAAAGACTTATCTTACGAGGTGATGAGCCTAACCCGGCCGAAACCCGAGACGGGAGGGTTCTAAATACATCGCAGAGGGTACGCTTTACTACAACCTGATGAAACCAGGACCTGGTGAATCAGGTAGCACCTACCAAAAGGCCCTTTCAGGGGTGCTGGGCGCTGCTGAATTGTTTAAGATGTGCGTATATTTACAATTTATGTGCGTACCCCTCCTCCCAACCTGGCAACACCTGACAGAAGCCCGAAGAGGAAATCGAT